TATTTTTATTTAATAATACATTTTAAAAAAGTTTTTCTTGTGAATTAAGTGAAAGTTTACAGCACAGATCATCAGTTTTACAGGCAACAAATCGTATACTTTGTTTCATTACAGTGATTACAATCCCCTCCATGTATCATCAGTTAACAGTATTTCTCTCTATTCGTTTTAGCTCTTTAAAAAACAAAACAAAAAAAAACACTCAGGCATATATAATCATTTAAACCACCAAAGGGCACATTCTGCAAGTCTGTCTCCTGGCCACCAGCTCTCAGTCCCTCCTCTTTCCATGAATCTAGAGTCCTCTGCTGCTCCCTTTCTCTATGTCCCCATCTCTGACTCCTTCTCTGGTGTTGCTGCCTTCTGGATAAGGTCTCAGATTCCACTTGTGCTCTTCTACCTTGATGGTCCCAGGGTTCTCTATTTCTGGACTGTAAGATTAACTACTCCCCCATTTTTGTTACAAAACATCTATCTCTACAACTGTGATAGTCACAATTAGTCATGAAAACAATTACTCACTATTGAATCATAAGAATCTTATCCCCATCTCTGTTTACCAGACCCATCTAGACAAGATGAAAACTATTCAGTGGAGTCTCTTTTATTTCCCCCCCACACACACACACCTGCACACAGTTTTAAATTAAACTCCCTCTTAAAACCTTGTAAGCTGGTCACTTCATGCCTTTATGGTGCCCCCATTTTAGGTAACCACTGTCTAAGTTGTCCATCCCTATCTACCCTATATACAGAGGTAATAGGATTGATACTTGATGTGAAGACTCCTTTCCTCTCAGTTGGGATTTTAAGCTAGTAAATCCATGAGTATAGGGCAAGTTCATCAAATTGTAGCAATTTACACTTGGTTTATTTTATTATTATTTTATCTTCCTCTAGTTGAGTTCTGATCATGAAGCCATCGAGGCTAGGTCAAATGTGTACTATCTGAGGGTTGGGTGTTCTTGTGCATCTCCCCTCACTTCATATCAGCTGGATGCTTCACTCTCAGCTCTAGCCCTCTGTGGCTATGTCCTTGTCCATGGCTCAGGTGTCCCCAGGTCTCACCACACTTTGCACTAACCAACCCTTCCTCTTCTCTGTCTCGACCATGGAGCATGGTTGAACTCAGCCCATTTCTTCATTGCTGCCTTTCCCTTCCTTCCACTCACCAGTAGACCAATGTGGTCACCAGCAAGCTTATATGCCTGCTCATGTGTTCTTTTCAGTTTCAGTCTTTGTCATTTATTTTTATCACAAACAAATACACATTTTGGTGGTGGGGGTTAAGCATGAAACTATGTTATTTTAATATTTACAATTGTCACATATTAGGATTCCTGCCAAGCAGCCCTGGTGGTACAATGGTTAAGTACTCTGTTGCAGACTGTCTTAATCATCATGTTGCAATAACACGATGGGATGGCTTTAACAAACAGACATTGAATCTCTCAGTTCAGGATACTAGGAGTTTAGATTCAGGGTACCAGCTCTAGGGGAAGACTTTCCTTCTCTGTCAGCTGTGGAGGGAAGTCTTTGTCTCTTTGAGCATCTTCTCCTGGGGGATCTTCATGGGACACGGCATATTTTTTGCCTCCATCTCTGGGAGGATCTTAGCACAAGGATCCTGGATCCAAAACACACACTTTGCACCCAGCTCTTCTTTCTTGGTGGTCGGTCATGTCCCCCTTCTCTGCACTCTTCTCACTCCTTTTATCTCTTGTAAGAGAAAAGTGATGCAGGCCACACCCCAGGGAATCTCCTTTAACATCAGATCAGTGTTATGATCTGAGTAAGTTGTTGCACTGGCTAATCACATCAGGGGACTGATTACATCACTACACAGCTGTCAAATTACATCATTACATAACTGCCAAACTACAGAGAAGCATGGCCCAGTCAAACTGACATATATTTTGAAGGGACAGAATTCAATCCATGACACTAACTGAAAGGTTGGTGGTTCCATATTTCAAACCCACCAGTCATTTTTGGGGTGGGGAAAGAAGAGTTGGTAATCTGCTTCCCTAAAGGCTACATCCTAGGAAACACTATGGGGGCAGTTCTAATCTGTCCTACAAGGTTACTATGAGTTTTAATCAGCTCCACCAAACACAAAGCAGGCAGGTGTGGGGGGTACCTGAGTAACACTATCAGAGGGGGTGACACCAAAATGACTGTCTATAAAAATTTTGTGCTGTGTTTCAAAAGAATTTTTTTAATATAAAAATGTCCCTGTAGTTAGTTTTAACAGCAAAGACATTTTTCATAAACCCAGTGTGTTGTTAAGTGCCATTGAGTTGGCTCCGACCCATAGTGACCCTCTAAAGGGTTTCCAAGGAACGACTGGTGAGTTTGAACCACCAACCTTGCAGTTCAAACCAACTGTGCAGTCTAGTGCATTAACCTACAGCGCCACACCAGGACTCCATAAATCTAGTTTACATATATCAATATACCTACAGGGCTAAAACTCTACCTTTTTAAAGTGTTCAAGAGCAAAGATATCAATGTAAGGACTAAGGTATGCCTGACCCAAGCCATAATATTTTCAATTGCCTCATATACATGTGAAAGTTGGGCAATGAATAGGAAGAGCATAGAAGAATTGATGCATTTGAGTTATGGTACCAGAGAAGAGTATTGACATTACCATGGACTATCAAAAAAACAAAGAAATCTGTGTTGGAAGAAGTACAACCAGAATGTTCCTTAGAAACCAGGATGGCGTGACTTTGTCTTTCATAATTCAGACATGTTATCAGGAAGGATGGGTCCCAGGAGGACACCATGCTTGGAAAAGTGGAGGATCAGCGATAGAGGACAACCAGATGGATTGGAACAGTGACAGTAGCAGTGGGCTCAAGTGTAATAACAATTACACTTGAGGAAGGTGCAGGACCAGGCAGTATTTTGTTCTGCTGTGCATAGGGTCACTATGAGTTGTAATCTACTCAAGGGCATCTAACCAACAACTTACTTTTTGAACGTTCTAACGTGCTCTTAACTGCCTCGGAAACGCTGTACAGGGTCGCTATAGGTTGGAACCAACTTGACGGCACTTAACAACAACGTGCTCTGGTCAGAGCTGTCATTACCCAGTTACAATAACTATTCAAATCCCATGGTATCATCTTCACATGCCACAGGCACATGGTGTTGGTTTTGCTGCTACTTGTGGTAGTGTGTCACTGATTTTGTCAGGTTTTCTGGTGTTTTAGCCCTGGTAAGTGTGAGAAATAAATTCTCAAGATGGTCCATTTTCAGGAATAAATGATCCAGGAGATTGCTAGACCAGATATAGATCTTGACTGACATAACAACAGGGGCCTAGGTCCCTAGGGTATGTTAACAGGATGAATTGGGGGAGGAGGAAGAAACCTGTTCTCCTAGGAACTTTAAATAAGCATACTAAGTGGCACTGTGGGCTAATGCCTCAGACTGCAAAGTCCTTTGAACTGCAGTATCAGTGGTTCAAGCTCACCAGCTGCTCCTTGGAAACCCTATACAGGGTCGCTATGGGCCGGAATCCACTCAATGGCACTTAACAACAACCATCAAGGCAATAGGTGATGTCCAGGGAAAGACTGTTAATCCCATAGTACTCAGGAACCTGGGGAGGGATTTTCTAGGACGAGATTATAAATTCTTCGGGCAGGGCATCTGCTGGTGTTTTCTGGGTTTGGAGCCCGATTTTGCAAAATCCAGTGAAAAGGCCTCTGGCTAAAATGTGTAGATTGGATTTCTTGAGCATTTGTAGGTAAGGACTCATGATGTGGCGCTGTGGGTTAATGCGCCAGACTGCAAAGCCATTTGAACTTCAAGGTCCGGCGGTTCAAGCTCACCAGCTGCTCCTCGGAAACCCTATACAGGGTCGCTATGGGTCCGAATCGACTCGATGGCACTTAACAACAATTCATGATAACTCTTCGGTAACCTCATAACCAAGAGGGACTGAGGCAGTACCTGGGGTTTCGACAACGTTTCTTATAGTAAGTGCTATGGGATAAGTGCTGGGCTGCTAAGAGCAAGGTCAGTGGTTCAAACCCACTCCTTGGGAGAAGGATGAGGTTGGCTGTTCTGGTAAAGATTTACAATCTCAGAATTTACAGTCGGAATTGACTTGATAGAAGTAGGTTAAGTTATGTATTATGGTTATTAGTGCAAATTTGTTAACCTTTATTCAATAAGTTTTTGAGAATGAAGTAATAATTAAAAGAAAAATCAAAGAACGCTTCCGCCCAATTACTAATACCTGTGTTGCTGTTAAGTGCCAGAGTTGAGTTGGTTCCTCTGTGTTCATAGCAATCCTATACAGTGTTTCTGAGATTGTATATCTTTCGGGAGCACAAAGCCTCATATTTCTCCCGGGAAAAGCTGGTGGGCTCAAACTGCCGACCTAGTGGTTATCAATCAAATACTTGTCCTAAAGAGCCACAGCGCCCCCAAATAATGTAATAATGTAACTCAATTATCAGTGTTGTTGTTAGTATTCACGTAGCCTTAAGAAATACATTTAAGCAATTTACAACTATAATTATCACACAGTATTATATGAAGCTTCTATGAAGCAGAAGTATCACTAAATCTCCGTGGTCACTTAGAATATTTCAGATTAGGAGTCACACTTCTGAGAACTAAATGGGCTGTGCAAAGCGAAGTGTAACTAAACAGTCCTCCTGCTGTTTACAGAGGCGGCCCTGGACTCTGGTGACAGGTCAACAGACTCGAGGGCGTATAAAGCATGACTTCCCTACACCCGCAGCTTTACAAAGCAATTTGGCGGCCCCTGGCCCTTGCCCAGTCAAGCCCCAGCGCAACCCACACGCTGCGCTCCTGGCCCCTCAGCGCCGCGAATCACGTGAGGCGGAGCCTGGCTCCGAGCGGCGCGCGCACAACGGGGCCTGCCGTCGCGTGACTCGATCGGGACGCGCCACTTCCGACGCAGCCTGCGGTTCAGGTTCCGGGGCGCGGGAGCTCCAGACCTGTGGGGTCGTGCTCGGCGCTCTTCAGGTTTCGGGGCCACGCGCCCGGCGGCGGCCAGGATGGAGGAGACTGGAGCAGTGGGGGCCGCGGCCGGGGAGGCAGAACTCAACTTGTCGCGCCTCAGTGTGCCCCCCGAGACTCTGGAGACAGAGTTAGAGGCGCGGGGCGAGGAGCGGCGTGGCGCTCGGGAGGCGTTGCTGCGGCTGCTGCTGCCTTACAACCGTCTGGTATCGCTGCCCCGGGCGTTGGGCAGCGGTTTTCCGCATCTCCAGCTGCTGGACGTGAGCGGCAACGCGCTGACCGCGCTCGGACCGGAGCTGCTCGCTCTGCGCGGCCTCCGCACGCTGCTGGCCAAGAACAACCGGCTCGGCGGGCCCGGCGCGCTGCCGAAGGGCCTTGCCCAGTCGCCCCTCTGTCGCAGCCTCCAGGTGCTCAACCTCAGCGGCAACTGCTTCCAAGAGATGCCCGCCTCGCTGCTGGAGCTGCGTTCACTGCAGACCCTCAGCCTGGGCGGCAACCAGCTGCAAAGCATCCCCGCCGACATCGAGAACCTGCGGAGGTGAGTGCCCCGGGGCGGGAAGGGGGGAGGGGAGTGGCTAGGGAGCGGGCGACATCTCTGGGGGAATTGAGAGCCCGGGACCCCGGGCATCGAGCCTGCCGCTGGCTCCCGTCTTTTGTCCTGTAACCGATTTCTTCCAGGTGCTCTCTGTTTGGTAGTGAGCGTTTGGTATCTTGTGCTTTCCTTGTGCAGAGATCATCGGAGGCAGTATTTTTGTCTCCTTTCTTGGGTCTAGGGGAGTGGTCCGAACTGAGTAGATAAACAACTGTAAATCTGAGGTTCACTTCTGTGCTCAGAAATCTTAAGTGGTTTTTCTTGCTTATAGAGCAAAGTCCTTGCCGTTTAACATAGCTTTCCACTACCATTTTCAGTGGCCTCATCTCAGCAGCAGTACTGACAAAAGTATTTGTAGAGTTCAGTAAACCGTGCATTTTCCCAGCTCCTTGTAGGAGTTCCTACCAATAGGCATTCGTTGAATATGTGTGTAATAGATTGCAGTGTTTTCTTTGCATGTGCTGTTTGTTCCCTTTGTTTCTGGCATCACCCTATTTAAAGGGTCATCTTTTATGTTCTTTACTACTATCTTGGACAACAGTTGTCTAAACTGCACCTCCTCTTTACTTTATTCATCCTGCCATTGCATTTACATTACTGGTCATAATTCCTAGTTCACAGGTCTGCCTGTGATTATCCAATAATATATGTTGAAGTAAACTGGAAGGAGGAATTGGAGAATCCTGATAAGTGAAAGTCCTATAGAGGTTTCATGCAGAGAGTGAGAAATAGAGTGAGAGCAACTACATTGTTTAAAGTGGGAAAGAATTGGATCTTCCATCTGTAAAATACTTTCATCTCCTTTATTAAATTTTCTTAGCTTAAAAGGACCACTGAGTTTAGTGTAGTTTACAGAATACTGGCCTGGGTTTGAGCACTTTGGGCATCCTAACTTTAGGATTAACATACGCTTACCAAAATTTCTTGATCTGTAAAATGAGGCTGTTGAGCAAAATGCCCTTCGTTTATTTATTCAACAGATGTTGAGTACCAACCATATGTCAGGTGCTGTCCTAGGTGCTGGGGATACATTGATTGGACATAATTCCTGCTCTCAGGTAGATAACATACTAGCAGAGGAGACAAACATTAAGCAACTAACTATAGACCTCCCTGTTTAGTTACAGATGTTAAACATTCTCTGAAGACCTACAGCCCTTGAGATGAAATAACAGGTGACCTGACTTAGTCTTGTCCTTGAGCAAATGACATTTGAATTGAACTTTTGATGGAAGAGTAGGAATTAACCGAGTGTAAAGTGGACAATTGTCCAGGTAGAAGGTCCAATTCATGTTTGTCACTTTCCCTCTTGATCATTTCCCTACTAATATAATATCCTACGAGAATTTAGGCAGTTATTTTTCTTGTCTCGGGGCCTCCTTTCACACAATAAGTCTGTGAGATGAAAACCTATATCCTTTTTGCAGAGGAAACTGAGACTCAGAGATTAAGACCAAAGATCATAAGCCCAGTAACTTGAAGCACTGGCTTTGATTTCTGGGGTCTCTTGAGTTGAAACCCATGAATTTTCTACAGTGGTGGAGTAGGTCTAGAATCTAATTCTTCGGACTTCTATTCCATTTCATATATGATCAGAAGGATTGGTCTAAACTATGTATCTAGTTAGCCAGATTTTCTGGATTATTTGTGCTGCCTATGCTGACTGTGCCTTTGACCTCAACAGTGTCTATGAACTTTTAGGCCATTGTTTTCATCTATCAGTTATAGACTCCATTTCTCTCTACTTACAACAATCAACACTGATTGAGGCTTAAGTCCTGCTCCAAATGTAAACTTTGGTTGCATATAAACTGAAAAGGTCATATAGAAATTCACTCATAGGAATAGAAATACTCTTGGTGATGAACTGATCTATTCTCTTCTTTTGATAGATGAAGAAACAGATTTCCTTTTAGTGACTTGCTAGAGGCCAGATAGTGACAGTTTGGAACCATGTGATTCAACCTTTAAAGGTGTTTTGTTGTTGTTGTTGTTAGGTGCCATTGAGTCAGTACCAACTCATAGCGACCTTATGCACAGCAGAACAAAACACTGCCCGATCCTGGGCCAACCTCACTAATGTTGCCACGCTTAAGTCTGTTGATGCTGCCTATTGGCCAATCCATCTTGTTGGGGATCTTCCTCTTTTTCTTTGACTCTCCACCTTACCAAACATGATATTCTTCTCCAGCGACTGGTCCTGCCTGATAATATGTCCGAAGTATGAGAGATGAAGTTTGGCCATCTTAACCTCCAGGGAGCACTCTGGCTGCACTTCTTCCAAAATAGATCTATTGGTTCTTTTGGAAGCCCATGGAACTTTCAATAAAGGTGTTTACTGCTGCTAAAATAATGTATTAAAAGCTCCAGAATATAAAAGTGGAAATTCAGGGTCGCTATGAGTCAGAACCGACTCCATGGCACACAACAACAACAAAACCCTATATAGCACCTGCCAAAGAACACAGTTTTCTGTGAGAATGTACGTGGATGCTTTAGACCTCATTGGTAATCTGATATATACTGTATACCATGCTGTGCTTTGCTTTTTATGCCAGGGTTAGTGTTTTGGGACCTTAGGAAGATATTTACCCTCTTTCAGAGCAATTTAAACAATAATGCAGGCACTAGGAAAATGCATACCAGACTACAATGAGATATTACTTCACACTCACTAGGATGGCTATTATCAGAAAAACAGAAACTAACAAAGGGAGTGGAGACATTGGAACCCTTATGTATAGCTAGTGGGAATGTAAAAATGTGGTAGCCACTGTGGAAAACAGTTTTGGTGGTTCCTTAATTAAAAACTTGTTAAACACAGAATTACCATAGAGCCCAGCAATTCTACTCCTGGGTATACACCCTAAAGATTTGGAAGCAGAAACTCAAACAGCTATATGTTCATTGCAGCATTATTCACAGTAGCCAAAGCGTGGTACAACACAAGTGTCCATCAGCAGATGAATGGGTAAATAAAATGTGTTCTGTCCATACAATGGAATGTTATTCAGTCATAAGTAGAAATGAAGTTCTGGTCATCATGTCATGATATGAATGAACCTTAGAAACATATGCTTAGTGAAGTCTTGAAAACATGCCTATTCTAGATAATTGATTTATGTGGGATCAGTTATGTATGAGAGGACTTCAAAAAGTTTGTGGAAATATTCCATTATCTTTTAACTTTGTTTTTCCATGAACTTTGTGAAGCCCTGCCCATAGAAAAAAGGCTATTCCTTTTTCCAGGGACTGGGGAGAGGAAATCGGGAATTATTGCTTAAGATGTACTGAGTTTCTGTGTGGGATGGTGATAAACCTTTAGAGACAGATAACCGTGGTTGCACAACAAAGTGAACATAATTAATGCCACTGAGCTGCACACTTAAAAGTGGTTATTGCTGTTAAGTGCCAGGGAGTCAGTTCAGACTCATAGCAACCCTGTATAGGGTTTCTGAAGCTGTAAATCTTGCAGGAGCAGAAAGTATCGTCTTTCTCCCGAGGACCAGCTGGTGGGCTTGAACCGTCGACCTTGTGGCTTACAGTCCAGTGTTTGTCCTACAGAGTCACCACATTCCTGAAACTGGCTAAAATGTCAAAAAGCAATTTGTTTATTTTTTTACAACAATAAGATTTAAAAATGAAGAATTTATAATCTACGAAAGTTTCCCTTTTCCTCTCACCTTTCAGCATTCCAGATTGGAGACATTGGCTGTCACTAAATAACAAATAAATAGAGTCCTGGTGTGATGCTGTAGAATGAGCACAAGGTTGGTTTGAACTGCAAAGTCAGCAGTTCACACTCACCAGCTGCTCTTTGGAAACCTTATATGGGATTGCTATGTAAGGATTGCTGTCGTAACCTCCTCAGTGGCACTTACACAACAACAACAAAAAGTAACAAATAAACACTTTGGGCTTACTTAGTATCATTGACCTCTCCAAATTTAGCACAGGGTCTTTATGTATGTTGATCCTCATTCTTAGAAGCAAAATATTTAATAAATGGTTTCTGAAAATAACTTTCAAAGTATCATAAATAAACAGGTCCTGACATTTTTATTTTTTAGGGTTCCTGTAGCTCCTGTATAATTAAGGTTATTAGTAACTTGGCTAGGCCATGATTCTCAGTAGTTTGGCAGATATGTAATCATCCTCCATTTTGAAATCTGATATTAGCAGACAATCCGTTGAAAGGAGAATTCCCTTGAGGGTGTGACCTGCATTCAATATATGGGTGTTTTGGCAAAGCTCTCTCTTGATCCTGCATCCAGTTTATAACCCTCTAAACTCTAGTTCTTTGAACATGAACCAGTAGCCTGCTCTCTGATCTGCAGAATTTGGGACTCATAATCTCCCACAGCTCTGTGAGTCAGGAGAAGCCTCCAGACTGATGCCTAGCCGTGGGCTACCTGGCCAACCAACTGGAAGAGATCTATATTTATGACCATTCCAAAGAAAGGTGAGCCCGCAGAATGCAGAAATTATCTAGCAATATCATTAATGGCACACACAAGTCAAATTTTGCAGAAGATAATCCAAAAATGGTTGCAGCAACACATTGACAGGGAGCTGCCAGAAACCCAACCTGGTTTCAGAAGAGGATGGGAATGAGAGGTATTATTGCTGATGTCAGATGGATCTTGGCTGAAAGCAAAATATACCAGAAAGATGTTTACTTTTATTTTATTGACTGTGCAAAAGCTTTCAGCTGTGTGGTTTTCAACAAATTATGGCTAACATTGCCAAGAATGGGAATTCCAGAGTACTTAATTGTGCTCATGTGGAACGTGTGTACAGAGACCAAGAGGCAATTGTTCAAACAGAACAAGGGACACTGGATGGTTTAAAATCAGGAAAGGTGTAAGTCAGATTTGTGTCCTTACACCATGCTTATTAAATCTGTAATGTGAGAAAATAAATTTGAAAAGTTAGATTATATGAAG